GCACTCGATTCCACCATCCATGTCGTTGAAAAAGATGTTAAACAGTACTCGTGTTCCTTTTTTTCTCTTTCAAGAATCAGATGACTGTCTGATCTGTGTCTACAGTGGGAGCTCACTGTCAGTTGAGTAACTTTGAGGCTCTGAGGCTTCATTGTCCTTACATGCCTGAAAATGAAACTCAGTTGAAACCCTTCTGTGAAGGAAGGCTACCTTTGTAGGCCCTGTGTGTACCACTGGGAGAAGAGAGTAATGAACTAGATGCAGGACACACTTGTCCTAAATTGCCAATACACCTTTGCTTGGTGTTCAGGGCATATGGTGATGTGAAAAAAGTATCTGCTGCCCCTCACTACCTGGGGCGATGAGCATCCCTAGGACCTACTCTTGGGTTTTGTTGAACTGAGAAGTATGTTATTTACCTGTTTACCAAGTGATCTCTGTTGCATTGGACTATTAACCAGAAGTTACAAACCAGGCTCTCAGTCCTTAGCTATTAACTTTGCGTGCCTAACGCATGGGAGAAGATTTGTGGTGTTTGGTGGGTTATTTGTCCTGGCTGTTGCCAGACCATTGGAAGGATCCTGACCCCTTCTGTCCTTGGATTTCACTGATGAAGGCCCTGAGCAGAGCTAGGGTGAATGACCCTCTCTGCCAGATCCCTGTAAGAGCACCTACTGTTAGCAGCAATCCCGTCTTTACTAGATTGCCGTTTGCATCATAAGCCTGCTTTCTAAACTTGTTCTCTCTTGTTCTAGGCTGCAAGCATGTGAAAGGCATTCTCTTGTACGGACCTCCAGGCTGTGGTAAAACCCTTATGGCGAGACAGATTGGCAAGATGCTGAATGCCAGAGAGCCAAAGGTGGTCAATGGCCCAGAAATCCTCAATAAATATGTGGGCGAATCTGAGGCCAACATCCGCAAGCTGTTTGCTGATGCAGAAGAAGAACAAAGGAGGGTAATGCAAACATAGATAAATAGCATGGTCAGTCTGAATGTGCCTAAAGAATGGCCGGAAAGGAGGTTTATAATCGGAAAATTGCTGCTTGCATTAGAAGACTGAGTCACTGCTTAGCTTGTGATTATAGTTATTCCTTGCAAGTCATTGAATATTAGCGTTGTACAGATTCACGCAGTGCCAGTTGGAAAAGTAACCTTAGAAGCTGAAAAGGTTGCAGGTCTAGCTAGCTGTGCTGAATACAGACAGTTTGTTTAAATTCCATACAGTTCTTCTGAAGTAATACTGTAAGCCCCATCTGCAGCAGTTTGTGTTACATGATGTCACCCACTCGGAAAGTGCATAAAAGTGGCGTAGCAAAATTTTGCTGTTTTCTTGGTTTTTTCTTTTTTGTGGGGGAGACATAATTAATCAGTTTGGATTTTTGCTACTAAATACAGGTGGTACATAACATAGGCTGAATTTCAAATAAGCTTTCACAGTTTCAGGGTTTTTGGGTTACAGGATTATTACTATTTTATAATCCTTCAGGTGTTCTAATTGATACATCATTAATTTTTCTCAACAGAAAGCTAGATGAGAATAGTGTCTTGAAAGCACAAGGTATGGTTCTTTGACACTGGAAGTGGAGATAAAGATCCTGTTTTTTTCCAACCTCTTTTTTTTTTTTTTAATCCATAGATTTAGCTGGCTATCAAAAGCCCAGTCTTTTGTTTGGAGGTGTAAATATTTTCTCCTGTGTGCTATGGTAATTTTTCTCTGCTGTGGATCACTTAATCTTCATAGGATTTTTTTGGTAAAAAATACAATTGCAGGCAAGTCACAGTTAAATATAGGAAAGTCTTTTTCAGAAGATGCTAGCAAAGGACATTGTATCCCTTAATTTTACTTAAACCTAACAAGATTTTGCTAGTGGCTTGCAGTCATTTAATATTCTCCTGCAAAAGATTTTTGAATCAGTAAGTCAGCTTTGCATGGTAACCCATACAGATGTAAACAGTCTCCTTCTCCCTGGTTGTTGCAATATAACTGAAAGCTGTGAACTGATTTTCCTTTGCAATAACACACCTGTTAAAATAGACTTTATATTGGCTGGAGGGGATGGTCCTGATGACAAGTTGCGAGATCAAAAAGGTCTCGGAAAGGTTGGTATTGTAACGACGTGTGTCTGGGGCAGGTTGCCAGGGACAGCACACTTACCCAGTGTTAACGTGGTCTCCACTCTCCACAAAAGATGTTTTAGAGGTGGAATTTGAAGGGGAAAACCTTTGTAACACAGTCACAAAAAGTATCCTGCTCTCTTACCAGCTGCAACTGCTTCACCTTTGAGTGAACCTGGAAATAAACAGTATTGTTCCTGATTGGCACTGAACGAATGGATTCCTTCACAATACTAAGAACAAAGCTACTCTGGCAAGCTATATTTTGCTAACTTTAGTACAGCTTGGGGTATTTCCCACATTGGGTGCAGATGAGCAGATGAGCTTTGTTCTCCATCTTCCTTAGAGACTTTCCCAGACACTGAGTACTGGGACCCTTTGAGCTGTGTGTTCCAGCTTTGGGCTTGTGCTTGCTCAGTCTAGTCCTCTTCCTTGGAACACTGCTGCTCTTAACCACCCTCAGCTGTGAAGTCCAGTGTTTGGGCAAAGCCCACCAACCACCCCATTTTGGAGAATGGCAAGATGTTATTCTGCAAAGGGGTCTGATGCCTATGTGATGTGCTACTGCAGCCACTCAGAGGTATCAATGTTCTGTATTTCTGTGGCTGAGCTTGTTGAGAAGTGACTGTTTTGGATTGCTTTCAGTGATGACATGTGGCATTGCTGACGTATTTTTCTCTCCAATAGCTTGGCGCGAACAGCGGTGTGCATATCATCATTTTTGATGAGATTGATGCAATCTGCAAGCAGAGAGGAAGCATGGCGGGTAGCACTGGAGTCCACGATACTGTTGTAAACCAGTTACTGTCTAAAATTGATGGAGTAGAGCAGCTCAATAACATCCTAGTGATTGGTATGATGGTGCTTAGTTTGTTGTGGGGTCTGGTTGAAAACTGCTGATATTTTGTCCATTGTAGGTCAACTAATTTGTTCTTTCTGGTGTGGGATCTGTTTGGACTAATCCAAATGGAATGACTGGTGTTTAAGAAGCATCAGTAGCAGATTTAAAGGGAGATGGTGCTGTAATAAGTTGATGTTGCTGCTTTCAAAAGATTTTCTCCTTTAGCTTGTGGTAAGTAGTGTTTTGTAGTTTAAGAAAACTTGTAAGGAACGATAGGCATTGATGTGTTGGCATATGAAGGAGTGAGGCTTCTCTGGCTTGTTGTCTAGTGTTCTGATGCTAGGAGCCCTGCAGATACAATCACAGATACAGGTTTGATCCCTATTGCCTCAACTCAGCATCAGGGGATGACTTTTCTGGAGATGGATATCTTCTGTCTGTTTTCTTGAGACTCTCTGAGGTATCTCCTTAGCTCTGTGCTCTGTATTCAGTAGTTGGAAACCCACTTAGTAAGTTTAGATAATGCTTATTCTATTTTTAAATTCGAATTTAGGAATGACCAACAGACCTGACCTGATTGATGAGGCTCTGCTGAGACCAGGGAGACTGGAGGTGAAAATGGAGATTGGTAAGCATGCTAGTGTATCGCAGTATGTAAGTTCACATGTACTTAAAACAGTAAAGCAAATATATGTCATGGTGTGAACAGTTAACCAGGATGGCATAGATGTTAAAACTTCATGCAGCTCCCTCCATAATATCTCATAGAAATTCAATCAGCCAAATAAAACGCTATTTTAGACTTAACTACTGTGACCTGATAGCAGTTTCTGTCCCGCAGAATGAATAGGTATGGGCAGGCAGGAAGCATCAATGAAAAGAGCCAAGTAATGGCACTAGATCAATCCTAGGTGGAAATTGCAGAACTGTTGAACTTGCAGAGCGGGCGAGTACAGTGTGTGAGCAATTCTTGACTTGGAGGAAGTGCAGATCAATTTATTTGTATGAAGTGAGAACAGTGACTTTTGTTATAGGGACTGCAGATGTTAAATTGCATTGGCTGTTGGCTTCTGAAATCAGTTGGTCTGGATTACTTGCATCAACAGAACTAAAAGTGACTGGAGACCCCTGTCAGCTGTTTATTTTGGTGAGCTGGAAAAGAACACTATCTGTCAGTAACTTAAAAGGGACTTTTTGTACACATCTGCCTAACACCAATGCAGATTAAATAATGGAATATCTGATAATGTAGGATTTGTTAAAAAATTAAGCCCAGATCATCTTAGATTCATGAAAACAAGTCTCTGACTTTGCATTTGTGGTTAGAAGTTTGATCAGTAGAGATCATGGTGGGATCCAAAGGGTGACTAGACTGGTGCTCAGTTATGACATTAATAATTCACAGAAGAAAGGATGCTTAGAGAACTGGGACTGATTGAAAGCTTAATGATCCTGTCTTGCAGTGAGAAATTGGTTGAGATCAGGCTTTAAAGATTGGAAATTCAGTTTCAGATGTGCAGTTTGGAAGAGCTCATAAAACATTGTCCCCTAACCTTCCACAAACATACAAACGCCACAAAATACTTTGTACTCTGAGCTAGGCATTGACTGCTGTAAAAGTAAAAAATCTTAGTGTAGTGAGTCACAACAAAGGAACAGGCAAGGCCGTGAGCATTCATATGGTCTGTTTCAGTGGCAGAAAATGAGTTGGGAATGTCCATATAGCAATAAAATCATATGATACTGTACTAGAGTGGCAGGGAAAATTGTCTGTTGCTGGTCTGAACTTTGGGGAAACTTGTGAAATCTCATCTATCAGTGCAATCTTATGAGCCCGCTAGGGATTTTTTCTCTTATCCTTAAGGGTAACCACTCTCTGAAGAACGAGAAACAAGAAAGAGGTTTTTGTGATAGCTGAAGAAGCAAGGTTGTAGGCAAAAGAGGAAATGAAGCTGATGGCTGCTGAGGTAGCTGCAGAGTTAACCTGGGCAGTGAGCTGATGCTGAGGCTCCAGAGTTAATACTTTCCTTGAGTACTGTAGGTAACCATTTATATCAGACATCACTGTGAACGTAGCTCATGCAAGATGTGGGGACCAGAGGGGCAACTAGAGCACTAGCTAGGATTTAGAAGTCTTGTGGAGCACAGATGCTGTGGATGGTTTCAGATATGCTGGGGACTTAGACTGATACATTAGGTAGATGCAGGAAGAAGTATTGAAAGAGACTTGTGCCTGTTCGTGGCACAATACTCCAAAAGGAAAATTGGGTAAAGAAGTGTATAGCAGTACATAGAGAATTATTAGTAGTCAGGCTGGTAAATAGAGAATTGGCGTTGGCAAAACCTGCAGCCAGAAAACAACCTTCGTAGCTGCAGGGAACTGAAGGGAAGGCTCAATAAAGAAAGTGTGGTTTAGGGATGAAGAAGCGTAGCCACAACAGTCACCTTTAAACATCTCGTACTTGAAAACAAATGCCTAATAGCAATTGTTACTTGTAAACGCAGGTGAGACTGGTTGTATTGGAGGTGTAGCACCTGCATCTATAGTTGAAAAAAGTTAATTAAATTAAATAAATTTCAGGGACTGAGCAAGGTATCCCTAGAATAAATTTTCAGATGATGAGGACTGAACAAGGCAGTCAGACAAAGTCCACAGGGACTGGAGAAAAGGAATATTGCACCCATTTTTATAAAGAGTAATAAAGTGCATCATGGGAACTACCAACCAGTCAGCCTCATCTCAGTGCCCAATACACTTATGGAACAGATCCTTATGAGAGAGACAGGGAGGCGATCAGGGACTGCCAGCATGGCTTCACAATGGGCAAATGGTGCCTGGCTGATCTAGTGGCCTTCTGTGGTGGTGACTGCATTTGTGGGTAAGCAACAAGCTGCAGATGGTATTTACCTTTACTTCTGTAGCGCCTTTGATAAAGTTCTCACCAACATTCTTGCCACTATATTGGAGAGAGAGTTTGATGGATGGACTGTTAGACGGATAAGGAATTAGCTGGATGGCCATGTCCAAAGAATTAATTGAGTTAGTGGCACAGTGCTGGGGCAGTCCACAACATCAGCACAGACTAGGGGATGGATGGATGGAGAGCAGCCCTGTGAAGATGGACTTGAGGATACTGGTGGTTGAAAAATCGGACATGAGCCAGCAATATGCATCTATGGTCCAGAAAGTCAATCATATCCTGGACTGCATCAAAAGAAGCATGGCCAGCAGGTTGAGGGCAGTGATTCTTTGCTTCTACTCTGCTCTCCTAAGGCCCCCTCCAGAATAATGCATCCAGCTCAGGGTCCCCAGCACAAGACAGACATGGACCTGCTGGAGCGGGTCCAGAGGAGGTCATGGAGATGGTCGAGGCTGGACCAGCTCTGCTGTGGAGGGGGCTGAGGGGGTTGGGGTTGTTCAGCCTGCAGAGGAGAAGCTCCAGGGAGACCTTATTGTGGCTGTTCAGTATTTAAAGGGGGCTTATAAGGAAGAGAAAGTCTTTACTAGGGCCTGTAGTGACAGGACAAGGGTCAACGGTTCTAAACTGAAAAAGGTCAGGTTTAGATGGAATGTGAGGAAGAAATGTTTTACAGTAAGAGTGGTGAGACACTGAACCACGTTGCCTAGAGAGGTTGTAGATAGCCAATTGCTGGAAGTGTCCAAGGCCAGGTTGGATGGGGCTCTGAGCAACCTAACCTAATGACAGGTGTCCCTGCGTGTGGCAGGGGGAGTGGACTAGATCTTTAAAGTTCCCTTCCAACTGAAACTATTCTATGATAATTGCAAGGTGGAAGCTGGCTTTAGGGATGCCAAAGGGCTGACAATATTGCCTTTGTGTAAGGTGAATTTCTGGTATGGAAGCCTGAGAGCAACCCACCTGGAGGAACCCTGAGGAAAGAAACTAAGCCTTACATTTCTCTCTAGTTTGGCAGTGATGCTAATAATTTTTTCCAAGAGTAGTTAGTGTCAATGAATATTCTCAGTCAAAAAGCATTGTCAAATATTCTACTTGTAAGATTGAATTGCTGATGGTGAGAAGGAGCCTTTGGAATTATGATGGTTGAGGAGAGGGAAAGGCTTTGCTGCAGTTGCTGTTCTCTTTCAAATCTCAGGCCTGCCGGACGAGAAGGGTCGATTTCAGATTCTTCATATCCACACAGTACGGATGCGGGAACACCAGCTGCTGGCTGAAGACGTGGACATTACAGAGCTGGCAGTTGAGACTAAAAACTTCAGTGGTGCTGAACTGGAAGGTTTAGTTCGAGCTGCTCAGTCTACTGCTATGAACAGACACATAAAGGTCAGTCCTGTCATCTCTCACTGGGGAAGAAACCAGGGAAAATAATTATGTTTGGAGTCTTATCGTGATGTTTACCTCCAGATGGGTATAATGGCATCTCAGCATACCTTAGGAGATGAAATTCACATGCTCCCGTGCTTCTACATGGTTCTGAATTACCCCTTTCATCTCCTGACCTACAGGTGGCTCTTGCATAGCTTGGGAAATGGAGGGTGTTGTTAGTATATTTTGATAAAAACTGATAGGGAAGTCTTGAACTCTGTGGATTGGACCCAAGAGACATGAGGTGGAAGTGAGAACTACCAGACATATGGGAGGGATCTCTGCTGGAGCCTGTGCAGGTCAATATATTCATAAAGGATCTGTAGAGGGTTGGGGGGGTGTGAGGTTACAAGCTCATAGCTGTTTTGTGCTCATAAAGATGAAGCCACCTATGGAAAACTGTGGAAGGCATTTGGAATAATGCACGTGCAGAAGATGTAGTCAGTGAACTGGGGGGAGAAAATTCACGAAGGTACAGGCAGTGGTAGGGACTGACTGACCATTACTGGGGGTCAAGTTCTTGGAGTCACAATGATCTTGAAATGCAGCTCAGTCCTTACCAGTGAAAAAAGCAAATGTAACGTTAGAATTTACAGGGAGAGGTTTACGGAGCAAAAGTGAAGCTGTGATTATGTCACGGGTAAAATCCTTGGTATATTTGAATTTCTGCAGACCTGGGACCCCACCAGGAGAAGGTTACGGTAGAACTAGGATATGGAATGGCAGCAGGGAAGGTCAGAGGGTTTTCCTTGGAAGAAAGATTAGACTGGGATTTATCAGCTGAAAAACAATACAGTGAAGGGTTATGAAAAGGATGTGACATCATGAGTGGACTGGAATCAGTGAATGGAGAATGGTTTTTTACTCTTTCCTATTACAAGAACTTGGAGAACATCAAATGGTACCAGCAGGGACATGCTCAAAGCACAGAACAGGAGATGTGCACTGTGTGAATAAGTACTTGAAGAGTGGAAGGAACATTTGCTCCAAGATGTCGCTGATGCTAAACTCTTGGTGGATTTCAGAAGGGGCTTGCACAATGTCTTCCATTTCAGATAAGAACTGATGATGGTTTCACTGGCATAGGGACTTGTAACATTCTTGGCTGTCTTTATTCAAGAGTGTCCTGATTTCGGCTGGGATAGGGTTAATTTTCTTCCTAAGAGCTGGTACAGTGCTGTGTTTTGGATTGAGTATGAGAATAACGTTGATAAGGCACTGATGTGTTTAGTTGTTGCCAGTAGTAGTAGTGCTTATATAGTTCAAGGACTCTCAGGTTCCCGTGCTCTGCCAGCGGCAAGGTGCACAAGAAGCTGGGAGGGGGCATAGCCAGGACAGATGGCCCAGCCTGGCCAAGAGGATATTCCCCGCCATGGAACATCATGCTCAGTATGTAATTTTGGAGTTGGCTGGAGGGGGGAATCGCTGCTCAAGAACAGACTATCAATCACCAGGTGGTGAGCAATTGTTTCACTGTGCATCACTTATTCCTTTATCAGTAATATTATTATTTTCTCTCCCTTTGCTTTCCTATTAAACTGCTTTTATGTCAACCCATGATTTTTTTTTGGTTCTGATTCTCTCCCTGATCCCACCCTGGGGTGGATCGAGTGAGCGGCTGTGTGGTGCTTAGCTGCCAGCTGGGGCTAAACCATGACATGGAGGAACATTGCCTCATTTTCCCATTGTTTGCTGCTGTGGGATGTCAGTGTATCTTTGACTAGAAAGGAGTTAAGGGCCATGAAATGTCAGGTTATATTAATCCAGATGCTAAACACAGTATTTGATGGTGTTGAAATATGAGATGATTAGTTTGTGAAGAAGGAAGCTGAATGGCACAGCACTTTTGCTCCAGTGGCCAAGAACTGCTGTGGATTGCTGCAGAGAACCATTTGACATCAGTTCCACAGCATTGGTGTATGTTTAAGTAAAAAGTCTGTTCATCCTCGAATACGAGGAAAGCAAATCATGCTTTCATTTAAGTGAAAGAACTTGTTTGGTTGCTTAGACATCTGTCTCCTGAGAGCACTTTTTCTAAAGGAAAGGCTTTCTGCTAATTTTAATTCTATAGCCATGATACTTGAAAAGTTACTGTTTCCTATAGCAAAAAACCCACAAACATCAACAGCTTCTTATTTGCATGTGTTCTGTCTTAAAAAAAAAAAAAATCAGCACCTCTGGAGGTGTTTTCATCCCTTCACAGGCAAAACATTTTCGTTAAATAATTAATTTTGCTTATAGTTGATTTTTTTTTTTTTTCCCAGTGCTTGAATTTTGGGTGAGTTAGGAGACAATTAGAGTTTTGATATATTCCCTGTTGTGCCAGAATGTCACGGTGACACATTGTGAAGAGAAAACAGTGGTGTGTAAATTTAAAAGAGCAGTCCCCTCCTTTAGGATGGTATGTGATTGACATCGTAATAATATGTGTATGTATATCCCCAATGTGAAGCAGCCACACCTTGTTTTCCTTTTCAAACACTTTGACATAGTATTTTTGGATAATCTTATTGTTTATTCTGAAGATGTCTTCAAGCCAAGTGGTGCACTGAGGTATTTTATTCTCGCCTACAAGTACTGCAAAATCTAAAATATACATCAGAGGCCTGACCTAGTTTTCAGAAGCACCTATGAGAAGCAAGAGCACAAATTGAAAATCAAGGAATATTATTCTTCTGAATAATTTAAACTCTTCTGATAATCTGTCAAAGCGTGTGTGTTAAAAATCAAAATGTATAACTCATTAAAGGCCTGTTTTAAAGTGTACAAACAACTTCAGGAATAGATAAATAGTGTAACAAGTACATTTGCTTCCCTCTCTAAGTGGCAGCGATTAACCCATGCTAAGGATCCACTAGTTTGATATGTTTGGCATCTCGTGTTTCGGCGTGATGGATGTTTTTGTGAGAAGGGACTGTTATTTCGGCCTTCCTCTGGTTGGTGCAGTGTCAGTGCCCAGGCTGGGTTTTTGAAATTGCTGTTTAGAGGCTGTGTGTGCTACTCTGCAAGACAAGCATAATGGGATTATTTGAGTATTATTTTTTCATTCCTGTGCTCAGGTGCACTCCTGGTTCTTGTAGGTCATCATGGTCAGAAGAGGATGGCTCTAAGACACATCTTTGAGGATTGAAATTATTTGACTGGTCTGTTTACCTTGGTCTTAGGCAAAGGTGCTGGAGGTTGCTGTGCCTTCCAAGAAAGCCCTCTGAATACCTGAGTTTTACTTCCTGAGCTATCAGATCATGTGGGGCCGCTACACTCTGGGGTAGAAGCAGGTGGTGCTGTAAGGCTCAGGAACTTTCAATTAGAACTACACTGGTTTTGGAGTCTTGAGAAATGTGTCACGGCATGATTGGGAAATTTAGAAATTATCAAAAGGCTTTCTAGGCTGCACTTTGGTAGAAAAGAATGAAAATCTTTTGCCTCCTCTCTATGCTACTTAAAAACAGGTTTCTGCCTTACCACCTAGCAGATGAATTGCTTTTCACAGATCAACTTCTGCCCCCTCTTGTGACTAATCCTTTTTCTCCTATCTCTAACTCCACCCGGGATCCTCAGCAGACTGCACCCATAGGATTAGTGTGTAATAGCCAGTGTTTGCATGCTGTTGAGTGGAAAAGTTGCTTCAAATCCATTTAATTCCTGATTGCTGCCCAAGGCAATCAATATACTTGCAGATCTACAAATAATCCCAGTAAATGGAGCTGCTCAGTACTGCAGAGCTGCAGCCATGCTCAGTAATGTAACTGCAACTTGCTCTAAAGTCTGCTGACAGCTGAATAAAGTCTTCAGCTTCAGAGGCTACTCTCAGGTTGTTTTCAAGAATTAAAAACCTCTTCTGGCTCTGATGTGAGCAGCGTTAGGCCACTCCTAGTGGTACCTGTAGTTGTGACTGAGAAAGGATGTGCAGGAGAAGGTTGGAGTAGTGCTGTTTCTGCTGTATATTGCTTCCAGTCAAGGGCTTTTAAATGTTGCTGGGCAGTTTGAGAATGGCAGATGGGGAAGAGGTGATGCTTTTCATTTAGGATGGAGTATAGTATGAGCTGAGTTAACTGCAGCTTATACTGATAGTGCAGTACTGATAGTGCTACCTTGGGAAGATTCATGACTTTTCTTGAACTGAAGCAAATAAAGACAAAGCAGAAAGAAATCTAATATTTACCAACTGCCTTAAAGACTTACTTGTATGGAGAGGAAAGTGCATGGTTTGAACAGAAAACTTAAACCTCCTGAAATAAAGCTCTGTGAAGAGTTCTTATTTTTGACTTGGTTGCCAGAGTGGGGAAATTCAGAGTTGAGTTAAACCAAACTTTCTTTCTGAAAAAAGTCACACAACGAAGGAGGCTTCATCCCATTCCCATCCAGCACCCAGAAAGCATAACGAAGAGTTTCTTCTACAGCCTCTGAGTGGAAGGAGTGGTTCCCTGTTCTATGGGGAACCTACATAACTCCAATAACTTTTAGAAATGTATAAACTTAGGTGAGATCAGTCCCACACTGGGCAGCAGCCTGAGACTCGCTGACACTCAGTTTATGTAGCCAAGGTAGCACAGCAGCAACAGGGATGGTGCAGAGCTTCAATCCTGCTCTTAGCTGGGGTGGCTTCTCTGAAACATGGGTTCATGGCCAAGCTTTTCACGTCAGCTTTCCACCCGGTGGAGTGGAACAGCTGTCAATGGCTTCGTGGGGCTGACGTATGGCTGTGGCTCTGTGAAGATGATGATTGCTACAGTGGTATCCAGCATATGTCCAACAAATGTCTTAAGAAGCATTTTTCTTACTGATTCAGAGCAACTGCAGGGTTGGATCCGTGGATGGAAGTTGATAAGGGGCTGTGTGTGGGGCTGCTGTACTTCAGTGTCTTTTATTGCCTTTATTAGGCCAGCAACAAAGTGGAAGTAGATATGGAGAAGGCAGAGAGCTTGCGTGTGACAAGAGGAGACTTCTTTGCATCTTTGGAGAATGATATCAAACCTGTAAGTAGGTGCTGTGTAACTCCTGTAAAAGAGGATTAATGGCGTGGCTTAACTTCCCTCTGGGGTCAGACATGCAGTGGTGCACCATGGGCTCTGAGGTATTGTGTCCTGTGTGGTACAAGTGAAAGAAAGGAGCCTCTTGCTGCCTGCAGTGCTAAGGCTTTGTTTTGTACCTTTTGTTGCATGCAAGAATCATAAAAAGGAATAGAACAAATAGAGAGCAGCCTGGAATTTCTTCTCCTTGTTGTATGTGCACTCTGCCTTTTAGACTACTTCAGTTATTGGAGATGGCTTTAATATGGACAGTAATATGGGGTTTAAGCCTCATTTTTGAGAATTGTCTTTAAGTGGTGTGGATTCAGAACCCATTGGCAACTTGCACTGATTAGAATTTGTTTTGAAGGTATATGAAAATATGTTTCTAAATGTGCATGGTCCCCAAGAGTGTGCAGTCCTTGGGACTGAAGTGTTTTGTCACCAGTGACGGTTTTGTGCATCTTCCAGAGTCTTGGTCCTGCTCCCTTTGGTGATGTTTAATTGTTTCATGTTCTTCTGATGTGATGCAAAATTTCTGTGATACCAAAAGAAATGTTCCATCTCTTAATACAGGCGTTTGGAACCAACCAGGAAGACTATGCAAGCTACATCATGAATGGTATTATTAAGTGGGGTGATCCAGTAACAAGGGTATTGGATGATGGGGAGCTGCTTGTTCAACAAACTAAGAACAGTGACCGTACTCCTCTGGTTAGCGTCCTTCTAGAAGGTAAACTTAAGAAAAAAAGATTAAAAAACCCAAGCAGCCTCTGCAGACTCTTCCTATCGGTTACCCAAGTGGTGATCTGTTACTTCCTGCAACTGCATGTAAAAGAAACAGGGGAGGGGGAAACGGAATCGGTGCCTTTTGGTTTACTTGGGCGAGTTGGTCAGCAGCTAAGCAGCACACAGCTGCTGGCCCCTCTCCACAGGGGGATGGGGAGAGAATTGGAGGAAAAAGATAAGAGAACTCATGGGTTGGTTTAATAATTGAAAATAAATTAAATAATGATGCTAATAGTACTAATAATATGTAACAAAAATAGTAATAATTAAAATACTACTAATGATAATAATATGTAATGAAAAGGAAAACAACAGTGGGAAAAAACTCCAAATGATACAACTGCTCACCACACACGAATCAATACCTAGTCAGTGCCTGAGCTGTGAGAGCCAGAGCCAGAGAGAGTGCAAATGCCCCCGCTTATATACTGAGCATGACATTTGATGGCATGAACTGTCCCTTTGGTCAGTTTGGTCAGCTGTCTGGGCTGTATCCCCTCCTAGCTACTTGTAGAGAACAAGAAGCGGGGAACACTGGGGAAGTATCAGGAACTAAAAAAGTCCTTGGCTTAATATAAACATTGCTTGGCCACAACTAAAAATGTTAATACATAGTCAGTATGCTTCTCAGCACAAATCCAGAACAGAGCCTCTTACTAGCTACTGTGAAGAAAATCAGCTCTCCCAGCCAAAGCCAGCACAGTGAGATTTCTTAAGGTATTAAAACTGGCTTCTCAGCCTGAGAGAAATACTGTCCTTGGAACAAGTGAACGTACCCACTTAATAACCTAAATGTGGATGTTTTACAGAACAAACATCTCTGGCTGAGTTCGTTGTCTGAATTCTCTTTCAAGTCACTGGAAAGCTCATCACTGTAATTAACTGAGTTCAAATGACAGTCCGTCTGCCACATGTAGGTGTCTGCTGTTAGACAGAGGTGGATCACCCTCTATCTAGACCATTACTGACGATGAAGAGTCTAGGAAACCAGTTGAAATTCTACATTACAGATATATTCGGGTAGAATTTATTATTTAGCGCTTCTCTTTCTTTTCCTGAGGTCAAAAGATCATAGAACGGTTTGAGTCACCAGGGATCACTTAAAGATCATCTAGTTCCAACAAGATGTGGTTGCCACTATTGCTTAGTGATCTGTTGCTTTGAAATTAACCTTCAGTAGATCCCCTGAATAATTCTGTGTGCTTGCAGCCAACATAACACTGGCACGCAATACCTTCTTGCACTCCAAATTGAACTTCATTGGGTATGTAGATTAAGATGTGTCTTTGGTCTCTGCTTGAATTATTCTGGTGTGAATTCAGGGAAATTACAAATTGTCTTTGCCAATATTTACCTGACATTTCTGCTGCTGAGTTGTTTGCCACAGTACCTGCAGAAATCGTATTTAGAAGGGGCATAAGCACAGTTCAATAAGATTCTCCAAAATACAAACAGAGGCTAATTTTGGTGCAGTGGCCAGTCCTACAAAATGTGTAACATCCTCTTTTGTGTCAGTTTGACTGCAAATCAGTCTGTGTGCACTCAAATAGTTGCATTAATTTCCTTCCTCTGGAGGATTGGATTGCACTAGGAGTTAGCATGTTAGTAGTTAGAAGAAAAGATAATTTCAAAATGCTGAGACCTGTGAAGGAGATTATAAACATGTTTAAAATATCATCCCTGATGCGCCTTACCAGACCTGTGTTCTCCCTTGTTTTTCCATTATGTTTGTCCTTTGTTTCAGGTCCCCCCCACAGTGGGAAGACTGCATTAGCAGCAAAAATAGCAGAGGAGTCCAACTTCCCCTTTATCAAGATCTGTTCTCCTGATAAGATGATTGGATTTTCTGAAACGGCCAAGTGTCAAGCAATGAAGAAAGTACTTACACGTCCTACTCTTTAGCCTGATTGCAATCCAATTCATGTTCTCTAGGGGACAAAAAAGTGATTACCCCTGTGATTGTGTGTTCTACTTTCTGTAGGTCCTAGATTCATGTGCATATATTTATTTCTAAAGTTGAATGAATGCTTTTGTGGCACTGACATGAAATGCCCCAGGGAAAATGTCAAGGCTCTGGCCTTGTTGGGTCTGGTGTGTGATCATGTGAAGTGAAAGACCTGACCTGTGATGAGCAGGTCTGGAGTTCTGTCTGCAAAGATGAAGGCAGGAGGTCCTTATGGTTGCACATGGAAAGAATAAATCCTGCCCGAATGAAACCAGGAGCAGTTTTCAGGTGGTAATGTGTAGTTAAACAAAAGTTGTAACAACCTGGGGAGCAGGGGAATACAAAGAAATTGAACATCTTGAATCATTTCAAGTAGCCAGGTAGAAGGAAGGGAGGTATCATTTACTGAAGCAAACCAGCACTGATGGTGCTGACAACCTGAGTCGCTGTGTTCTCCATGCCGTATGCTGCTGTGAACAGTAACCAATGGCCAGCCTGGGTGGAAAAGCTTCATAATTGCCCTGCCATTGTGGGGGATTTGTGTGTGTGTTAGAGTATCAGTACTGCCCCAGCTCCAGAACAACAGAGGAATGGTGATCTGTTTTGTCCACTGCTTACAATTTAGCGCTGGGCAGCTGACTGTTTTGCAAACTGTATGGGGTATGAACAAAACTGAGCTTTGAATTTGTTGAGATGGCAGTGTTTTATTAAATGCAGGTAGAGTCTAGTCTATCGGTACTTACCTTTTTCACTTTCTGTTTATTCCTCTAAATACGGCTGTGTTTAGCTAAAAACATGTCAACAGGTCCTATAATGACCATTGTAGTTTTGCTGCTGAGACTTAACAATGAGTCATTTTGCTGTTTTTTAGATCTTTGATGATGCATACAAGTCCCAGCTCAGCTGTGTTGTCGTGGACGACATTGAGAGACTTCTGGGTGAGTTAGGACAATGAGAGCGGGCTATGTTGTCTGCTCTGCAGAAATAGTGAAATATTTGCATTATTGAAATACTGCAAACTGGGAAAGGTCTGGAACCATTTACTTCAGGACCCTTGAACTGTTTTAGATACAGTGAAATGGTGTAAACGTACATCTGCTTAGTGTGTATTAAAATGCATTTTTTGTTTCAGATTATGTCCCAATTGGACCGCGGTTCTCTAATCTGGTGTTGCAAGCCCTTCTGGTACTGCTGAAGAAGGCCCCCCCTCAGGTAAGAAAGTAATGGGGGGGTGAAGCACCCCACTTCCACAGTAATTTTGACAGTGGAGAGCTGTGTGTCTTGCTGATGGCTGCTGTGCTGGCAGTGGTGCTAGTGCGATTGTCTCTGCTTCAGTCGAGTTAATCCTAGCCTGCTGCTGTTCACTCTGTTAGACATTTCTAGGATAACCACAAAGGATTTAACTTTAATTATCTAATTACTTAAGGCTGGAGGTAGCCCTAGAAATACTAAGGAAACAAGTTTAACCTTCACCATGTAAAAATTAAACATGCAGGCTGCTTTCTGATTAACTAAGGAACTGTTTAGTGCAGATCAATCCCTGGCTCAACCATGTGTTCCCTCCTTATTTAGAAATCAATTTGTAAGTAATATGTGATTGTGGATGTCAGGGTTTTAATTTGTTCTTAACTTGAAATTACCAGGTGTTAATTACAGGAAGTCTTAAGATCTCACATCTCATGCTGAATCTGTCTGTACTTTCTGGCTTGATGAGATTTAAGAACATCACAAGTGATAATGTTTCTGAAGCTTGCACTGAATGAGACAAACAGGCAGGGTCTCCTCTTTCTTGTTTGCAATTTTTCCTGTCGTTCACTGGAATTCTGCTGTGTGTGTGAAAGTATCTGCATGAATAAATAACATTAACAGGAAAACCTTGAAAATTGGTGTCAGGAAAAAGCAGAGAAGTACAGCCTGGATGAACTCAATGTTTTTGTAATTTTTAATATACTGGAAACAGTAATGTATTTGTGAGTATTGTTTTCCTTAGAGAGTGTGGTGAAAAGACCTTTCAAATATAGAACTTTGAACTAAATTGTAATGCCACAGGCCCTGAAATTCCCCTTGTGACTGTCAACCTGGGAGAACAAAGATTTTTTTTCTTCCCCCCCC